GATAGGGAGGTACGCTGTGTCTACGAATGGTAACACTCCCCGGCCTGTCTAAGTCACTGTACAAACCGTTTCCCTCTAATAACACCTCGAGAGGTTAGAGAGGGAAAAGGTCTTGGATAAAAGTTACTCTTGATAAGAGAAGCCTAGAAGGCCAGAGAGAGAAAGTGAGTTTTANATCCATCCCTGGAGAGAGGAGTGACACCAAGGAGTCCCTCTTCTCCTTCTCAGCAGCATGATTAATAACCCCTGTGCCCCATAATCTCTCCATCATCTATCTATGTAAATGCCCCCAGACCTGCAGCGCCAACACACTTTGACTGATGGCTGTTCCACGGCATTGGGTTTGGTGTGTGTGTGTGTGTGTGTGTGTGTGTGTGTGTGTGTGTGTGTGAGTAAGTGTGTGTGTGCAGATTTTGCATATGTACGCAGGCGGTGTGTGAAGGTTTTTGTGGATTGAGAGGAAGAAATGAGAGAAATCACATGGTCTCTCCGCCTTGTCACAGTCAGTACGGCCTCACACACACAGTTTTTGATACAAACGGAAACGAACACTTTGGGAGAAGACGGCTTGGCACGCATGAACAAGGCACAGGGGAGGTTATCATTTACTCACACAAGAAAGAAACAAGAGACCAAATTAGATCTGGCCGAATACTGTAATGGATTCTCATTTTATCTCTTAAGCCCCTCTTTTTCAGCAATGGCAGTTTCAATAAATAGGGTGAATGGGATTAATTAGGCATCTCAAAGCACCATTTTAAATATTACATCAATTATTAATGCTTGTATAATTTTTTATCCAATGAAAGTGTCTCTACTGTGAGTTTTTTTTGAGGATTTTACTTGTTTTTGAGGCCAGCGGTGCCATACAGTATGTTTGTCTCATTTATTGGAAGTAGGCAACTAGTTCATTGGTGGACATAAACCTGAGGAGCAGGGCAGAAATCTGGGAGTTAGGGATCTTACTTTTGAATTCTGTACAAATCATGTCATGAGATTTGAGGTAAACCCATAGGAAGTGCACTTTGACATCTCCTTTAGGAAATATTTAACGTTTTTTGCAGCCCTGCAGATAGTCGCTGCCCCGGTAAATGGTCTTTATGGATGAGGAGAGAGAAACCATGAATAGTGGGAGCGAGCTAAGAAGAGAGATAGAGCTCTTAATTGGCTTAATATTTCTCATAGTGAACCGTATGTGTCATAGCCAGGATGTTAATGGTTCCTACACACCAATTAGTATGTAATGCTTAAACTGGTACTAAGTCATAACCAGCATCTCTGACACGCACAGAAGCACACATCTTACTTTATCTTCATTAAACAACCTTTAAGCAAACTTGTATGAAAGTCACTTTATTGGGGCCTCTCTTTCCCAACTTTACGATTTTCACTATTCATATGAATATTTTTGTTTCATCCTTTATTTTGTGGTCAAAATTATTGTTTATTGTGTCATTAAGATAAATATTTTTTAGCAACTCAAAAAAGGAAGATGTTACCATGATTTTAAAGAATAACACAAAATGTCATGCCTCAAACGGTCAAAATAACAATTGCTGCCAATATCAGTAACAGAAATTGAAAGAAAAATATAGAAAGTTATTGAACATGTCAACCCTTAGATGCATAAGTGGGTCTTTTTTGACCCGGTGAGGTGGTTTTCTTGAAGTATCTTTGTAATTACATTTTTTTATTATTTCATATTCCAGCTATTCCTCAAAAACATGTTTTGGATATCATTCCATTCAAATTTTTAATTGACATTTTATACATTTTAAGAAATTGTAGTTTTTGTATTACTGCCCCAAGCTTCCATAAGTGGGTCAAAAATGACCCGTATGCATTTTCTATGAAATGTCGGGTTTTTTTCAACATGTAAAAAAAAAAAAAGTCTAAAATTATAAATAGTGAAATATTAAATATTTCTAGTGTGAACCAAAATATAATACTAAATATTATACAAGTGATTTTTCTTAACCAAAATGACAAATGGCATAAAAACACATTATTCTAATACGGGTCCTTTTTGACCCACTTATGGAAGAGTGTAGTGCCAGTCACTCGTGCATCTAAGGGATAAATAGCTTTTAATTTGTTTGGCACATTCTTACTCTCCCTCCTTGTGTTTATATCAATATTTGTTATATCTATTTTTTAATAATCCTTCATTTTTTCCCAATCTAAAGTATACTGTCCCAAAACCTTATTTCACCCGGGTTAAATAAAGGATTTAGATTGTGATTATCCCTACAGGTGATTCCAGAGAGGTCCATGTCTCAGCAGGCTGTGGGCCGGTCCCTGCTGCAGTCCGTGGAGGCCACAGTCAAAGAGCCCATCATGTTTAATGTGTCCGGGAACCCCTGCATCATGCTCTGGGCTCAGAATCTCAACATCAGCCTCACAGACAAATGGATCGACCTCGCTGCAGAGACGCCATCGCTGGACGGATCCATTTGCAACGGCAGCAACTCACTGTGAGATGGCCGCCCGGCACGCTGCCATGTTTTTATGTCAAGTCAAAAGAACAGTTTCCTTTTATTCAAATGAAACAAGTCATTTGAAATGTATTCTTCTTTTCTCACTCTAGGCTTGTCCTGACCTATGCATCAGGCCACATACTACGGTAAGACAATACATTTATCATTTTTTAAAAAGTGTCAAATGCTTTGGGAACTCGTTCTTATCAATAGTCTGATGACGATGTTGCTACAGACAGTAGCTTGTTAGCTTAGCACAAAAACTGGAAACTGTTATTCCATCTTTTCCCAAAGGTGACAAATCCATCAATCTCCTCAAAAGTTTGTTTTGTCAGTAAGGTAACAGAAGGGGAAAATTGTGTATTTTTTTGTTGTCATTTTCCAAAAAAAAGTCCCTCATTCCCCTCAATAAATAATTGTTGTACACTTTAACGACAGAGATTTTTCAAAATGAGAGCAAATAAGCGTAAAACTTCTTTTAAGCCACTGGGAAATGCTGTCCATTCTTAAGTATTTCTCTTTCATGGTAACCGTTTGTACAGAGTTTCTGTTTCAGATCTTTTTTAATAATAACAAAATGTAATATTGGAAAGGTTAGAATGAACCTCTGAAACATTAAATGAGTTCAATGTAATGTTGTCTGTCCTTTTTTGATACCAGTCCACCGCTACCATATATTTATAGAAAGGAGCAGTCATTTCTCAACATTTTTTACAATTTCCCCCAGACTTATACACATATGCTGTCGTTAATATACATTCCTGTTTATCTCCAGTTTTGCCATGAGTCAACGGCTCTACAAGGTGTCCGCACGACACTGGTTCACGTTGGACTCTGTAGAGCTGCAGTCGAAAGATCTCACTGCGTCTTACGTCGGGAGACGCAACATCTACGCGCCTGCAGAGTACTCCTTCCACTGCCAGTCCGTCACCAGCTTCAGAGACACCCTGCTGGTGCCGAGCAGCAACAACAACAAGAACACCACAAACTGGAGGCTCAACTTTGTCGACTTCCAGGTACAAATATATTGCTTTTACAGCCTTAGATTTTCTGCAGCAGTGCATCGAATTCTTCATGGTGTGTTCAGGTGTCTCTTGAGTCTTGTTCATTGATGTTTTTTTCCGATACAGATTCAGGGTTTCGGTTTGGCCAACGGAACAAACTTCTCCTACGCCAGCGACTGTGCCGGCTTCTTCACCGCGGGGATCTGGATGGGCCTGATCACCTCACTGCTCATGCTGTGGATTTTTGTGTACGGCATGCACATGATCATGCAGCTCAACACAATGGATCGGTTCGACGACCCCAAAGGTCCTTCGATTTCAGTGCCTCAGACAGAGTGAATCATTCCTCAAACACTGTCCTTCAGTGCCTCCTAGGAGACTCCCTCCTTGTCATGTTGCTGTGTTTTGGCCTTTTTCTTTGGATATGTGTTCAAATCTTTACTCTGAATTTCTCTTCTGTCATTTTCTATCCTGAATCCTTCCACAGCTGTCTTTTTGATACGGTTATCTTGCAAAGCACATTTTTATTTCACCTCCACCAGTGCCAAAGAGGATGCTCCTTTTTTCCTAGTTGATGAGAAGTGCATGTGCTAAAATATGTTTTTGTGCCACTGTTGGTCAGAATTATTTTCCTTAAAATGATAAGCAATAATTTCTCAACACCAGAGAATGTATTCTGTGCCAACATGAATGTGATGCTTGATGCTGTAGGACCGTATCAGACCTCTTGACTTCTTTTTTTTTTCAACCTAACTGTCATTTCAAGATTACTGGTTATGAAAAAGAAGTGCCTGTATATAAAGAGTACATTTATGTTTGTGACTTTTAGAATTGCCTTGGAAAGGTATGTTAATAATTAACCTTGGATGTAGTTCTGTTCTTGCTACTAGCAGACAGATCCAACTCAAGTGCCACAAAGCAATTCAAACATTTCTTCTTGAGTAATTTATTTATGTAAAAAACAAGTTTAATGCTTATCTTTAAAGTTTACTCCATTGCTTCAGGTTCATCAAAGAATAATAGTGCCTCACTTCTGCTTGTGTCAAACCTTTGAATGTGCAATTGCCTTGACTTGTAAATTGTCCCTAATTGAAAATAAAGATATCTGTAAATCTTGGTGTAAATCGGTTGTTTTAATGATATTCAATGAGATTCAGATATCCGAATGTGTCATTTTTCACAAGTACGAAACGCCATGAATTTGCGTCAATTAACGTAACAGTTCGGTTGCCATAGTTGCAATGTCAAAACACAACAACGTCATCATAGCTAGTGGAGACGTTGCTAACAGCCTGGGAGCTTAATTCTACTTATAGTTTCTTGTTTTTCACCATTTTCTTTCCCGCAAGTTGTTTCTAAAATGTCAGAAGCTCCAATTCAGGGAGTCTGGTTCGGCACCTCCCAGGACAGGAAACTTTTCCCCGGAAATTTTGCACCAGACCGGCTGGGAAACCATATGGCACGACCGGAAGTGCCGCACATCGGCCCCGGCAGCTATGACAACCACGAGGTCTGTGTCATCTGCTTATTTTTATATATTTTCACGCATAATAAATTATCCTTTAAAAAAAAAATATATATATACAAACTCAAAGTGTTTTAAACCCTAATTTGTTGGTTTGCTCTATCATGTTAACGTTGATTGTAATACACTTTATTTATAGAGCTCCTTCCATTCATATTATATTTCCATTTCTTTGCAGTACGGCACCATAGTGTATGATCTACAGAAGACACCGGGTAGTAAGAAAGGATACAGTCTGTCTGCGAGGACTGCAGCTCGCTTTCCGCCCTGCAGCCTGGTACATATTCACCTCCAATGAGGGTTTTAACATATTATATTAATTACTTTCAGCTTTACTGTTGTTTAAATGTTTAGCAAAGTATCATATTTCATAAGCTCTTTGTGTGTTTTGTAAGCAAACTTAGGCTACCACCATGAACATCCATTATTGCTAAAAAGAAGAAGACAGAACTGAGGTTGGGTTTAAGTTGGATAGGCCTTTAAGACATATTGTCTTCTTAATTGGTTTCACAAACACAAACTTAATGTTAAATGTATGCCAAGATAAAATAATATTTCTTATGCGGAACAGGTTTTTGGATTACTGGTGTGTCATTGATTTTACATAATATATATATTTCAATAGAATAACATTTTTGTTTCCCAATACCTTCCATGTCATGTGACCCAGTGACTCCAAATCTATATAAGCTTTTATTACTACACTTGACTAATAAGACAAACATCTTTTATTGAATTTTAAGTAATTTTTCAATTAGATTATAAATGTGAATGCCTGTCCAATAACCACCTAAACTAACGTCCTCAAACAACACCAGGAGATATCAAACACATCTACTAAAATTATGTTCTTGGGATTCCCCCAGTTTCAAGTATGGTGCTACAAGGCTGGAATACCCATCGAACATGTTACGTTTATTTTATTTCTTACATATTCTATCCCCAGACAGCGACCCCTTCCCCAATGCAGTACCAGCAGGATCAGAGCTACTCCAGAGTCCCCCCTCCTGGCAAAACCCCTTTCGCCTCGACCACACAGAGGTTCAAAACCATGTTGTGTACAGCCAAGGACAGCCCAGGGTAACACACACACACACACACACACACACACACACTGAACTGACAGCTGTTTGATACAGGCCTGGGACCTACGCTCACGATGCGGTGACTGACAGGAAGGTGAGCTGGCCGATGTGCTTCGGGAGCCCTGATTGGTCCAGACTGCCTCAG